AAAATTCAAATCATTTTTGACAGTATTACTTTTACCGATATGGCTTACGATGTTGGTTGATGAAAATTAATAGCTAAAATTACTTTTAAATATTTTGACTAAGTCACTGATGTGAATTGCATCGCTGCACAGAAGAAGTTGGTGGACTCAAAATTCTAAATATTTTCTATCAAATCACTTAAATGTATTGCATTAAAAAAATGATTAGTACATATTGCAACATACATACTTCGTTATACATTAATAATTTTTATTGTTTGTATTGTTAAAATCAATAATTTTTATTATTTATGTCATTAAAATTGATAATTTTTGTTTTTTATATCATTAAAATTGATAATTTTTATTACACACTAAGAGTTTCGTTCAATGTATAATAAAATATATAACTGACTAATATAAATGTATCATTCTCCATTGCATTATTCCAATGGATGGAAATTGGCAGTGAAAGCATTTTTAAATTTTCCATTGGAATCATCGACATGTAGTATATTGTTGGCTGGTTATTTTAGAACCACCCCACCAGAAATTATATATCCTTTTACAAAAATTAATTTATTGGATTCTTTATCACTCAAGTATACCATATAGGTGACTTTTAACTTCAGTTCAAAAAGAAGTATATCATATAGGTGACTGGTGATTTATTGATAAAATATTATATTTATGTTTAATTAATTATTATTTATAAGTTTTTTTAAAATAAAAAAAAATATACATTAAATAATGTCGTAAAAATAATTAAATTTAGCTTTAAATTAAAAATTAAATTTAATAAAATTAAACAAAGAAAGTGCCTACAGGGCAAGGATGGATGATATAAAGTCGATGAATACGCATCTTCTTGGTTTTGTTTAATAATTTGAATGAAGTATTTTCCTTTTTTTCTTTTTTGTTTTTTTGGTATTAAGTCTTTTTTTTTTCCTGTCTAGGTACAAGCATGAGTTAAAGGCAATATGTATATCTCTTTTTTAGTAATGATATGAGAATAATTTTTTATATAATTTTTTTATATAATTTTTTTATATAATTTTTAAATATTATTAAATAAATAAATATGTATAATATTATGAGTTCAAATAAAATGAAAATAATTAATTATTAAATAATAAATAATGTTATATGAAAAAATTATAAAAAAATAATGTCTCTCAATCTTTTTTTTTTTTCGGGGGCTAAAGATAGTAGAAATGCAATTAATTATTCTATTTATGAAAACTCATATTTTCTGTACCTTGAATATAAGGCTGTGTAGCTAAACTTTTTGTCAAATACTTTTTAAGTTAAAAATTCAAAATTTTTGTCTCCGAGTTTGAAGTTTGTTAGAAAAAAAAAAAAACTTAATTTTTAGCAAAAATTTAGTTTTTAGTAAGTTTCGGTAAAAGCTCCAAATCCTTGCTTTTGAAAAAGCTCGCTTAAAAGCTATTTGTTTGCTAAAAATCATTTTTCATTCCAAAAATATAAATTTCTAACTTAAAGAGACATAAAATTTGAATTTGTAACTTAAAAGTATTTGACATAAAGCTTAGTGAAACAGCCTTTATAACTCATTCTTCAGTGGCGTTGTATTTTCTGCGTCAATCACATGGATGGGATGGATCAGTGTCACCAGCTATTATTTTGGGTTTCGTGGGAGTGCTCGGTAAGCAATAATGTCCACTCAACTCAATTAGCTATTTTTGCCTTTTATTGTCTTTTCGTTTTTGTGTTATATCTTAATTCTTATTTGCAAAAATAGCGCAAATTATGCCTTTTTTTCCCTTTTTTTTTTGGGCTAACTATGTTCTTTTTGTTAGCAAGAAAATATATGATAAAATAAATAGATGTATATGTTCTTGTTTTTGTTTTTTTTTTTTTAATTAATTCATTATTGATATCCTGTGCTATGAGTTAAAAGGTAATATTTTCTGTTAGAGATAATAAAAAAACAATTAATTAGTATTGAAAATATAAACTCATTCTTATAGTTGTAAATTTTAAATATAACTCATTCATTGCAGTAGCATTCAGTGCTGTGGCAGGACTCAGACGGCATCAATGGCTCACATTAATACCAATGCTCGTATTTTCACTCGGTAAGCAATAACATGAACTTAGTTGAATATGACTGAGAATAATTTTCTTAAACAACTTTTTAATATGGATTTTTATAATCAATACTCTTAGAATACATTTTAAAAATATAAAATAAACATATATTTTTATTATAAATTAGTATAAAAAATAAAAAAATTAATATTAATTTTAGTATCGATGGGACATAAATGAATATAATTGGATGGTTGATAAATTGAAAGTTAATTTTTGCTTTTTCAACATAAATTTATGATAAAAAAATTCATTTGTAGCATTATTTAAGGGTATAGTTTAGAAAAATCTTTTTAATATAGTAACTTTCTATGTTATTTAATAGTAATTCACTATTTATACTCTACTAAGACTTACGATATTATATGCAAATTTGTTTGCAAAAAATGATTAAAGAGTAATCACTTCAAGTTAAGATTTATTTTTTTGGCTAGAAATAAAAAATAAAAAATAAAAAATAAAAAATAAATTTATTATATTGTTTTTTTTTTATCAATTTATTTATATCTATGTCTATATTTATATCTAATATAGATATAAATGATAAAAAATTACTCTCTTAATCAATTTTAGTGAGTCTAGGTTTTGTCTAAAAAATAGGGATGTTATAATTTATTGATAAATTTTATAGTTATCCCTAATTAATCACCTTTAATATATATTATAATTATGTTTTTAAAATGATGATAAAATACTAATAAGTATATAAAATTTCATCTTAAAAAAAAAACTAAATTTACATGTTTTAAATTAGAAATTAGATTTATTAAAATTGAACGAGAGAATAAGTTATTTAACTATATTTCTCTATTAAACATGAAATTCATATTATTTATTAATTTAAGTACAACTGGTACTCAATTCTTTTACAATCAAATTATTTTTTCTTGTTTATGAAAATGAAAATATTAAAAAAAAAAATTGTTGGTCCTATAATACAATCATTACTTGAAAGCACAAATTCACCAACAGCACAACACATTGGTAAGTAGAGGGTTTACGTTGGAGTAAACAAGCTTCCCACATCATACACATTGATAAACACTTATCGGTATAAGTGGCCTCAGTAATCAATGCAGTGACGTAACTTCAAATCATGTCGTTAAATTCATAAAATTTATCGACGTGAGACTAATTGGAGGGCAAGGTTGTTGGATCGACGACAGGTGAATAGGAAAATTACCTACTCTTGGTTATCACGTCGGTAAATTATTGAAATTTATCGACATATGATTTGAAGGTACATTATTCTACCGGAGTAGTGTACATTTTCTGGCGATACTTTTCCTCCAAACACTCGTCGGTGTTTAATCACTTACCAATGTGACTAACGTTGGTAAATATATTTTGAAATTTATGAAAAACCTAAATATTTAAGGTAATATTTTAAAACTTACCAACGTGGACAACGGTGGTAAATGATTTTTTGGCAAAAAAATGAGGTGGTTTATTTGAATTTCAAACTTACTAACGTAGTAGTTGGTAATGTAGTGTACACTTTTAATACAAATTTTGATTCATCAAACAAGGAAGAAAAAAACTAACATAGCGTATCTTGGTAAGTGATTTTTTGGAAAAAAAATAATTGCATTTCTTCAATTGAAACTCAAATTAATTATATATTTTTCTTCAATTCAATCTATTTGTTCACAAATGTCAATTAATTTGCAACTCTCAATATAAACAGTGAATATGATTTTAAAATTTTCAAATAAAAAGAATAAATACAGACTTTGATAATGTAAGGAATATTAACATAAATTTCAAATTTGTAAAAATAAGAAAAATAAAATATAAAATTTGATAACATAAACAAAAAATTAATAATTACCTCAATAAATATATCATATATAGAGCACCATTTTCTAAAAAAAATGTGAAAATCAAAATTAGTTTAATGTTTATATATAAATTCAAGCAATTAATAAAACCTAAATATAATAAAAAATTAATTTATAGAAAATTTATCCAATATTTATAGTGTCATTTCCCGCAAAACAACATGAAAAAAATAGAAAAAGAACAACATAGCTCAAATTAAAATTAAATCATTTAAACAAAAAGAAGAGGAGAAAAAGGAGAGGAGAAGAGAAGAACAACATGAAAATAAAGCTACCTGTAATGTAATTATAGACAAAAAAAAAAAAAAAAAAAGAAGAAAAAAACAGTGACAAGAAGAAGAGAAGAGAAAAGTGGGGAGGAGAAGAAAGGAGAAGGAAGGAAGAAAAATATGAGTGGGGTTTTGGGCTAGAGGCATCATATAATACCATGTACCTATGTGAACCACGTCGAAATCTAGTTTACCAACGTGATCCACGTACGTTGGCAAGTCTTCAATTTCAGTGAGAGGAAAAATTTGTAAAATTTTTACTTTTCCCAGTTTAAACTTATGACACGATGCATGTTGGAAAGTTAAAAAGAAAAGAAAGAAAAGTGGTTGAAAAAATACTGAAACTATTTAATTTTCCTGTTATTGATTTCCGACATGCACCATATTGGTATGGAAGAAACTTCAACAGGTTAAATATTTATCAAATATTTTGTTTTCCCGCCTCTATTTTTCATTCCCAAAATGAAAAGCTATGGGACTAAAAAGGTTCCAAAAGGAGTTCACGGATAATTCTAGTACCAAACAAAAAAGTTTTGTGAACAAACAGTGTTAAACCTTTCCTTTTATTTTATCATCAAAACAAATGTATTATCCAAGTTCGGTGGATGTTTATCTTTTTTCGTTCTTATTTTATAATTTTATGAAATGAGTTCACTTTTGGTTCTTGTGCTTTGAAACTTATTCTTCCTTCATCTTAACCATTGCTTATTCATTGCAGCGGCAGGACACAAACTAAATATAGTAGGCCAACTGATAGCAGGAATTTTTTTATCACTTGGTATTGGTAAGCTATAACGTCCGCTCAGTTAGGCATATTAATTTGGAAAATAATTTATTCACCTTTTTATTTGACACATTTTTCAAATCTTGTTTAATTTAGTCATTAAAATATAATAAAAGTATAGTTAATTTAACTAGTTTTTGTATGCCATGTATATAACTATATTTTTAAACTTGTCTACTTTTAATTTCATACTAAAAAATAATAACTTTTTAATAATTATATCATGTAGTACATTGAAATGAAAATATATCAATTAGTGTCTTAGGGATTGCCAAAAGAAAAAAATCAGTCTTTTTGTGCAACTAAAATGTAGAAAATAATAATAAAAATATGTAAATACACTTAATAAATTAATATGTGATAAAGATTCATTAAATACATGAGAACTTTGTTTTACAGTTGAGGATGTTCTAGACTGTAAACATGGAACATTAGATGGGATGAAGGCCCCAATATTAGGGTTCTAACCTCCATCTAATAATTAGTTTTATATAGTCCGATACAATTTAAATTGTACAACACTTTTTTTTAAATATATTTAAAAAATTTCACATAAAATTTTGATTTTGATTTTTCTCCTATTCTTATATGTAGAAATAAAGCAAATAAAAATTCTTCCTTTTAAGGAAAGCAAATATATAATCTCAAGTCTACGAATATGTATGGTCTTGCTTTTGTTTTATAATTAGATTATAATAGGTACATCTTCCGGTTTAATATACTACACAAAACACTTAATAAAAAATTATTATTATTTGGTTTAAAATTAAAAGCAAATAAATTTAAAGATTTAATTATGTATGTATGATATAAAAATTGATTGAATGAACTATATTTATATTATATTTTAATAATTAACTTGAATGGATGTCAAAAGATATATCAAACTGAAAGGTGTATTAATAATTTTCCTTTATAATTTCTCTGATATTCATTATTGGTTCTTGTAGTTTGAATTAGAAGGTAATCTCTTTAGCTTATAACATTCATTGCAGGGTCACTATATTGGAACGATCAAGGCATATTTATTGTAGAGACTTTATTCTTTCTAGGTAAGTAAGCAATAACATCGAATCAATTATTGCCTCTTTTCTTTTTCCCCTTTCTTCGTCTTGGTTCTATATATCTCGATTCTTATTCGTCCGGAAGTTAACCAAATAAACCTCTTTTTTTCAAAAAAAAAAAAAAAAAAACCTTTTGAATCAGAAAGCACATATATGATTTGAGGTTAATATATAAGCGTCAATGTTCTTGCTATTGTTTTATAAAGATTTGAATTAAGTTCTTTTTTATTTATAAATATATGATTTAAATCTCTTCGCTATTGATTATAGAAAGATAAATCCTTTAAATTTTTTTTAATAATTAAGAATTTAAAATTTTATATTAAAAATTTTAAATTCAAATCTTGAAAAAAGTAAATAGAGCTATTTATATATATATATATATATATATAATCATCATACCTTCATTATTACAGCTATGAATCTCAATATTGTTTCTGAATCCTAAGTATTATTCATTGTAGTGGCAATAGTGAGGTCACCCGTAATGGATTTAGTACCCATAATCCTTGGACAGCCTTTATTGTATCTTGGTAAGTAGTAACGTTTACTCAACTAGTCATTTTCAATTTTTACTACTCTCCTTTCTTGAGCGATCTGTTTTCCTAATTAGCACTTAAAGTATCAAGTTTCTTAGATATTATTGGGCAAGCAAAGTCAACACATTTGGGAAGAATAATTAATTTCAAAGTACAAAGATACTAAAAGATATTGGTTTTACTCTAATTTCACTTAGGGTACGTTAGTGCCTTGACATAGTGTCTCTACACGATCTTAATTAAGTTTCTTTTTTAGTTTACGTTATACCCATCAATTTTCTTTGATAAAATTTAATGGGACGAGAATTTTACTTCATTCTTTTAACAGCTATTTTGAATAAATATATATTTTCGGTTATAATGAATCAATGATAAATTTCATTTCCTGGTTACTGCATACTTCAAGTAAATATAGGTTTTATTTATGAGAATATCTATGCTTAAGCAACTTTTATATACCATAACTAAAGCATATGATTCTGATTTTGATGGATGCGAATCTCAATGTCCTTTCCCGAATTACAATTCTCACTAAATTTATCTTCTCTTGGCACTTGCAAGTCAAATCAAAAGTTGCCTTTTCTTAAAAACAAAAAACGCAAATCAAGAGTTTTGTCTGAATTTTTTTTTTTCTTTTGTCTAATTCTCACAGTCAAAAAGCAAAAAATATATAATGTAGAGTGAATGGATGATAATAAATGGGAACAAATTTTGGAATTAATGACATGATATAATTTATGTTATTTAAAACATTAAAAGATAAATTTTATATTATTTAATGATCAATTTTTTCACTTATTTGAAACCTATAATATTATATGCATTAATTCATTTAATGACATAATTTATGTCATACTATTTATTCCAAATTTTCATCCTCTGCATTACTATTAAGTAAATAAATGTGAATGTCTTTTATTTTGTTTTAGGGTTTTTTCAACTTGTCATCACACCTTTGGTCATTAAGTTACATAAAAAAATAAGGAAAATAATTAGTACACACTCACCAATATTCACTAGTTTAATTATTAAAATCTACAGCTTTGCTATTTAATTTAAATTCAAAATAATAATTTTTTAATGAATATGTTTTGAAATGTGTTAAATTGAGGGTATTTGTATCAATATACAAAAATAAAGGTTAACTTTAATTTTATCAATTAATTGTTAAAATCATAGATGACATTAGTCTTAAAATTAGTATCACCTTTGTATAATCTTTTATAAGATTTTTTAAACTTGTGCTTGTACTTATTGCATATTTTTATTAATATTAATATAAAGAAACAAAAAAAAGCTTATATTAATTT